TGAAAAGTTCCTTTCACTTTGGTGGTCAAATTATGTTCATGTGGGCTGTATTAACAGGCATATTAAGTCTCGTGCTAAAATCGTGACATTGGCCAATGGTATAAACATATCTAGAGAGAGGAAAAGAATTACAACAGAAGAGTTTTGACTGCAAATAAAACAGGAGCAGGGGAGTCAATGTAGATGTTGACCTGTAGCCTGCTCAGAGCTGGGGAAAAGGAGGCTAAGCCAGGGTGTTGAGAGTTGCATTCCCATTGTCAAGGTTCTACTTTAGGGAAAGGGTGTTCCTTTCTTGAAATTTCTTGGTTTTCTTCTGACCTCTTAAGACACTGTTTTTTGTTTTTTTAAAAAAATATATTTTTTATTGATTTCAGAGAGAAAGGGAGAGAGACTGACTCTATAAAAGAAGCCTCCTGCATGCCCCACACTGGGAATCGAGCCCACAACCCGGACATATGTTCTGACCAGGAATCAAACTGTGACTTCCTGGTTTACAGGTCGACGGTCAACCACTGAGCCACCCCGGTCAAGCAGGACACTCATTTTTTCATCTACTTGATCCTTCCTGCTCTCCCATCTGACTTCTAAGTGAAAGATTTGCTGAGACCTATACATTGTCTTCTCACTCAATATGTGTCCCAAGATGATCTCATTCATGCTGTTCAATTCCCAGATTCATTGTCCTACCTAGATCTCTTTTCTGACTGAATCTATCATCTATCTATCTATCTATCTATCTATCTATCTATCTATCTATCTATCATCTTTCTAAATTTCCAATTAGATATCACAAGACTGTCATAACCATGTCTATAATTGTGATTATATATATATATATATATATATATATATATATATATATATATTAGAGGCCTGGTACACAAAAATTTGTGCACTCGGGGGTAGGGGGCCCCTCAGCCGGGCCTGTGCCCTTTTGCAGTCTGGGACCCCTCGGGGCTGACCACTTGCTGGCTTAAGCCTGCTCCCTGGGGGATTGGGCCTAAGATGGCAATCAGCCATCCCTATGGCAGCCCGGCAGTCATCGGAAGATGTCCACTTGCCAGCAGGGAGCAGACCTAAGCTGCAGTCAAATATCCTTAGCACTGCTGAGGAGGCAGGAGAGGCTCCCACCACCACCGCTGTACTGGCAGCCATCAGCCTGGCTTGTGGCTGAGCAGAGCTCCCCATTGTGAGAGCGCACTGATAACCAGAGGGCAGCTCCTGCATTGAGCATCTGCCACCTGGTGGTCAGTGTGTGTCATAGTGACCAGTCATTCCCAGTCTTTCTGCTATTAGGGTCAGTTTGCATATTACCCTTTTAGTATATAGGATAGAGGCCTGGTGCACGGGTGGGGGCCGGCTGGTTTGCCCTGAATGGTGTCCCGGATCAGGGTGGGGGTCCTGCTTGGATGCCTGGCCAGCCTGGGTGAGGGGCTGATGGATGTTTGCAGCTGGTCACACCCCCTTCAGGGTGGGGGTCCCCACTGAGGTGCCTGGTCAGTCTGGGTGAGGGGCTGAGAGCCGTTTTCAGGCTGGCGGGCGACTGAAGCTCCCAGCCTCTTTTTCTTTCTTTTTTTTTTATTCTGGGATTTATTTACCTTCTATAGCTGTCACTGGAGCTGAGAGTTGGCTCCAGCTCTGAGGCCATTGCCAGCTGAAAGCAAGTATCTGGGTTTCTTTAGCTTCTATAATTGCAACATTGTTGCATCCGGAGCTCAGAGCTGGGCTGTGAGATGCGGGGAACCTTGGCTTCCTCCATCACTGGAGCAAGCAAGCCTCATGTTTGCTTCGGCTGCCTGGCTGCCGGCCGCCATCTTGGTTAGCAGTTAATTTGCATATCCTGCTGATTAGCCAATGGGAAGCATAGCGGAGGCATGGTTAATTACCATGTTTCTCTATTATTAGATAGGATATTAATATTATTTTTTACAGAATGGAAGGGAGAGGGATAAAGAGAAACATCGATGAGAGAGAAACATCGATCAGCTGCCTCCTGCACACCTCCTACTGGGGATGTGACCGCAACCAAGGTACATGCCCTTGACCGGAATCGAACCTGGGACCTTTCAGTCTGCAGGCCAATGCTCTATCCACTGAGCAAAACCGGTTAGGGCTATAATTGTGTTCTTGATCTCTCCACTGTAACCTCTCCCAATCTGCAATTCCTTTAGATTCCTCCAACTCAGATAATGGGACTTCCATTGTCCACTTGTTCAAATCAGAAACTTAGCTATCATCCTTGAAACCTCCCGTTTCTCGTTTCAATCTCTCACCAATTACATTTTTATTTCTTAAAGCCAACAGCTGCTTTTGTTTTCACTGTCACACTCTTGGTCTATGCCACTCACTTTTTCACCTGGAAGATTATGATAGTCTCCTAATTAGCCTTCCCATGCATTCATTCTTTCACTTCAATCTATGTAGCAAGTGAGTGCTTAAAAATATTGATTGCATCAGGCCACCTTTCTGCTTAAAACACGTCAATGCCCCCTGCTTCCCTCTTCATCTTCAGCTTGTAACTCTCTCAGTACAATCCCACCCCAATGCTGCCTTCCTCCTATGGACCGAGGGTTTCCAGCCTGAGATACTTAAGACACTTTATTCTTTCTGCTTGGAATTCTTTTCCCTCCACAACTCTTCTCTTCCCCATCTCTCCAAACTTCTAGTAATTCTCTAGTCTGTTTTGAAATGTCAGATCTCAGAAAGGCATTCTTAGAAAGTCAACCCCTTATCTATAAAATCTATTTAAGAATACCTTGATATTCTCTTGTATAGCTTACTACTTTTTCTTTCAACTCACTAATTTCAATATATAATTATAAATGTATTTGTGTGATTATTTCTGTCTTCCAACACAGCTATTTCATTTTTCTGTCCAACAGTCAGAATAGTTCCTGGCAAGCGGTAGACAGTATTTGTTGAATGATGAATGTTAGCTGTAGAAATTTTTATAGTTTAAATTTCATTTTTGTTTACATGGTTCTAGTCATAGAACCATGGTACCCTTTTGGTTTTGAGTTGTCTCTCTACATAGCTTGATAACTGGGAGAGAATGCGTTGATCATTCAAGTGAAAGATATTTCTTAGTTTAAAAATTGATGTTTACAACACACTTTCATTATAAAACACACACACAACCACACACACACACACACACACACACAAAAAAAAAAACTAGGAATAGGAGAAATTAACATAACAAAATTCATATATTAAAAACCCACAGCAGACATTATACTCAATGGGGAAAGACTGACAGCTTTTCTTCTAAGATCAGGAACAGGACAAGAAAGCCTGCTTTCACCACTTCTATTCAACATAGTACTGCAAGCTCTAGTCAGAGCAGTTAGTCAAGAAAAAAAATAAATAAAAGGCATTCAAATGAGAAAGGAGGAAGTAAAATTATCTATTTGCTCATTATATGATCTTATATGTAGAAAACTCTAAAGATTTCACATACCCCAAAATTCTGTTAGAAATAATGCATGAGCCCTGGCCAGTTTTCTCAATGGTTAGAGCATTGGCCTGCACATCATTGAAGGGTCCTGGGTTTGATTCCTGGTCAAGGGCATGTACTTGGGTTACAGGTTAGATCTGGGCCCTGGTTGGGGTGCATGCTGGAGGCAACCAATCAATGTTTCTTTCTCTCTTACTCTCCCCCTCCCTTCCACTCTCTAAAAATCAATAGATTAACAAAACAAAAAAAGAGAAAGAAAGGAAGGAAGAAAAAAAGAAAAGGAAAGGAAAGGTAGGAAGGAAGAATATGAATTCAACAAAGTAGCAGGATACAAAGTCAACACACAAAAATCACCTGCACTTTGCCCTGGCCGATATGGCTCAGTTGGCTGGGGTGTCATCCTTACACCAGAAGTGGCAGGTTCAATTTCCAAGCAGGGCACATACCAGGTTGTGGGTTCCACCTCCACTTGGGGAGTGTGTGGAAGGCAACTGATCGATGATTCTCACATCGATGCTCCTCTCCCTCCCTCCCTCCCTCCCTCCATCCCTCTCTAAAGTCAATTTAAAAATCCAGTTGCATTTCTATACACTAACAATGAACAGCCTGAAAATCACAAAACAACTCTCTTTAGAATAGCATCAAATATACTTAGAAATTAACTTAACCAAGTAGATGAAAGGCTTGTACAATGAAAATTTCAAAACATTGCTGAGAAACATCAAAGAAGACGAAAATAAATGGAAATGCATCCCATGTTCGTCGATTGGAAGGACCAAAAAGAAAAAGGAACATCCCATTTTAATTAAATACATAAAGTGAATTACAGAATTAAGCACCTAGAGTAGCAAAGTTGTTTTTTGTTTGCTTGTCTGTTTATTACTTATCCCCCCCCACCTCCCTCCACTCTCTGGAGGAGTAAAGTTTTTCAAAGTTGGATGTTAGGAAGGAGGCGGTTCTCTTTAATGATGCATTCTATAAGTTGTCTCCTTGATTTTATGTTATCTTCTTAATATTTCTTCCTCCAAATATAAGCTTTGCAGTATGCACTTGGGATATCATAAATATTTATAGTTGGGAATAGCTGCAAGTGACAGAGCTACCAGAGAATATATGCTGTTAAGTTTGTGGAACTCTGAAACAATATGCAGAAAACACTTTAGTGTAGTAAGAAAGGATATGCCACTATTTCCAATTCAAAACACTTAACAGAGTTTAATGTTGTGTTCCTCGAATCATGCAGTGTAGAAAAATGTAACGTTCTGAGTGCTGAGTTTATTTTTCAGGGCTCAGAAATTAATGGTTATGGGAAACAAGTACATAATAATAATAATACACTAAAGAGCTGGAACAGATAACATTAAATCTTAGTTTATACATGAAAATCCTGAAATTGATAAAAAAATGTTTTCTTGTGTAAGAAAAAATCCCATTAATTTTTAAACATTGTCTACACATTTTGGTAAAGACTATTTTTATTCTCTTCATAGCCTTTTTCCTCTTTGAAAAACTTAGTTTCATTTGTATGTTTTCCATGTTTTCTTTTTCTATATTAAAATTACTATCCTTTAAAAATCCATTGTTACTTATTGGCAATATAAATAATTTTGTGCTTTTCAATGACACCAATGTCATGTTCCAGTTGTTTCATTTCTTCTTCCAGCCTCTGCTTGCGGATCTTCTTTGGTAAGGAATCGATGAAGACGGAGAGGGACTGGAACTCCTTATGCACCTCTTCCCAGTTCTTTTTTAGCCCCTGCAAATGGTAAGGGAAACTGTAACTACTACCGTCAACTGCCAAAGTAAAGTACATTGTAAAGCAAACTAAATAATAAGAAGACTACACTGGCAAGCAAAATAGAAATAGGTTAAAAAACCCAACTGGCAAAAGTGACTTTTAAAATGATATGTATTTATCAAGCACTTGGCCACAGTAACAACAAATACTGTACAGAGGCCAAACCCTGTCCTGACTGTGTGCTCAGATCCCAGTGGGAGTATTTATTTGCTCTGTTTTTAATGTTACTGTACTTGTCTTACCAACAAATATGCACAGGCAGAGTTATGAATAGTATAAAACTAAGCTCACAGGAAATGCTTTTTGGTAAAAACAACAACTTAGAATTGATACCCTCAGACATTAAAAAAACATTTTTGAACAGAAAATTATTTCTTAAACATTTTTAAATTTTTTTCTTTAGAATTTTCTTTTCATACCACCATCCTCATTCTTCAACAGAAAAATCACATCAAAAGATTTGATTCTGACTTGCATGGTCTTATTTTCTTGTAAATGGAATTGTACAAAATACCAAAATTCAATTTCACAAGATATTATATTTTATGTCTCTTTCAATGAATTAGAATTCCTCCTCCATAGAGCCAAGGGATCTATACTTTCCAGTAATGTATTCTAGAAATTACTGAAATGTCATTAAATGTAACACACATGCTAATTTAATAATGTAGTTAATTTTTATATTCTCAGTAACCAACAAATTCAAAATTAGGGATCTCTTAGGAGCAATAACAGTTATTTCTATCTCAGTGTTGTTACAATTTCTTATCACAGTACACTGAGGCCCCACTGACAAAATGGTATTCAACTACTAATTGAATTCATGCAATAAAATTTTGTAAATTAACACTTTATTTTATTCACTCTGGATGCATGTTATTTTTTTTTTTTTACAAACAAAAAAGTAAAACTGAAACTACAATAAAAGTATTGTCTTGATAATATGGTCCTTGAAAATCGTGACCATGCATTTAAGTTTATGAGATTAGAGGTGTCTTATATAATAATGCCTTCATAATAAACCCTTATAGTAAAAAATTAATCTTATCCATCAATTAAATGACAATGTTCCTACAGCAGGAATTTTCACCTACCCTTCTTAATATCTTTGGGGCTTAGCATGATACTGTATGTGAAATAAACATTTTAAAAATGTTTATTGATGATTATTAAGGAATTGTTAAATGTTAAGAATTTATAATGCATATGAACCCATTTCTCAACAGAAATTAATGTGGTAAGAAAACCTTTTTTTCTGTTTCTAAAAGGTCACTAGAAATGACTTTGCAGAAAGCTTTCAAAAATAATAGGTTAAGTACTGTTTTTACTTCTATAAGAGATGGGATGACTATAGAAGAATACAAGTAGGTACATAGTTAATAAATACAACCATGCTCACATCCCTAATATTTTAAGTGCTTCAGATAAAATCTTGTATCAAACACTCCGATGTAAATATTATCTTTAAGTATTTTTTCAAAATAAGAAAAATACATGTAAAATCTAACATCTGGATACGTTAAAAATCTCAACATTTGTCTTATAGAAAACAAAATGATGGTCTGTAGAGTTTCAATTATTCTAGAGCTCCATCTAGTGAAAAATGTCTATTTTGTGGGTATTATTTTTAATAATTCAGGGACATGAGAATAAAAATAAAAATGTTTTTCTTCTCTGTAGGCATGTTTGTTGAAGAAGAAGGTGGGCTTCCTTACAACACTAACTACTTCAGGAAATAACAGACGCTCACCAAATTGGAAACAAATACTAATCCCTATTTCAACTTTTGGTTTTCCCTGAAGAGTCATCTTTGCTGCAAGGAGTTGTCACCATAACTAAAAGAGAGCCATCGAATTTGAAAGTCAAAGTGCCTGCTTTGTTAATCATTGTTAATCACTGGCGGCAGACCTTTCTTTAAGAGGTGTTCTCAAGAGTTGCATGGAGCCAGAAGTTTCAGGACCCTTACCTGCAGCACTCCTTCCCTCTCTTCATCGGAGAGCCTTTTCATGGCTGCTTTCCGGAGGCTTTCCTGGACGTACTTATCATACTCTTCCTGGGCGTTTTTCACTTCCTCGTTTCGCTTACATATATATTCAGGTGTGACACCGTAATCCTTACAAGAATTTTTCAGGGGGGAAAAAATCAGTATCCTGAATGCACTCATACACGTGGGCATACCAACCAATGAAATGGTATAGACTTAAAGCCTTTACTTACAACACCGCAAACTGGCAAAATTCAGCGACTTTCCCTCTATTGGGAACTAGTTGATTCTGGTCTTTTAAAACCATTTGAGCTGTTATTTGTGGCAGCTTGTTTTCCCTCTTCTGAATGTTTCGAGACCCTGCTCTTGGCTGATGACGCAGCCCTTACTTTACCCCTAAGAGCTGGCTTTTCTTTATTGCTTGTACTACTTCAGCTTTTACCTTGAAATATCTTAAATATCTTGAGGTCTCCTTCGCAAGGTTTTGTTAAATAAGATACTTACTTCCAAGGCATCATCAAAACCAACTCTTGAAAGATACAAAGCACATCTGCTTTGCCAGAAAATTGACTTGGGACCTGTTTGGGGAGATGCAAAATCCTGGGCTGCTTGCAAAGGCTGACAGTGAACTAGTCAGCTGTTATTCTCCCAGATCAGTGAATATGTGTGATAGATATCACTATTTTGAGAAACAGAACTACTCCTTGTTTATTCTTCAAAAAATTATTTGTACTTGGTGCTAGATATATTTGTGAGTAAAAAAGGCAATGTTTCTGTCCTCATGGAATGTGCATTCTACGGTGAAAGAAACTCACCAAAAACAGGGTATAAAATAGGAGATTATATATATGCTAGAGGCCCAAAATTTGTGCGGGGGGGGGGGGGGGGGGGGGGGGGGCGGGCAGGAGTTGGTGTCCCTCAGCTCAGCCTGCATCCTCTCCAATCTGGGACCCCTAGGGGGATGTTCGACTGTCGATTTAGGGCCAGATACCACAGGGATTAGGCCTAAACAATCTGGGACTACTGGCTCCCAACCACTTGTCTGCCTGATTGCCCCTAACTGCTTCTGCCTGCCAGCCTGATCACCCCCTAACCACTCACCTGCCAGACTGATCAATGTCTAACTTCTCCTCTGCCATCCCAATCGCCCCCAACTGCCCTCCCCTGCCAGCTCAGTTGCCCCCACTGCCTCCCCTGCTGGCCTGGTCGCCCCCAACTGCCCTCCCCTGCTGGCCTGGTCACCCCTAACTGCCCTCCTCTGCTGGCCTGATTGCCCACAATTGCCCTCCCCTGCTGGCCATCTTGTGGCTGTGGGTGCCACCATCTTTGAGGGCAGGGCAATCAATTAGCATATTCCCTCCTTATTGGCTGTGGATGCTGCCATCTTTGCGATGGTGTGAGGGCCAATTAGCATATTCCCTTTTTATTAGATAGGATATATATATATATATATATATATATATATATATATATATATATTCATTCCAAGGTAAAATAAAAGTTAAAAGGGGGAAAGAAAGAATAGGAGCTATTTTAGATAAATAACAAAAATCAGGAAAGACCTGTCTCAGGAAACAGTTGTTGAGAGAGAAGGTAGTCATTAAAACTATTCAGAAATATTCTGGTTCTTCTCCCTTTGGGCATTTGATAGGACAAAACTTTCCTGCTCCCTTTGAAGTAAGACATAGTCATGTTACCTGACTTGCCCAATGTGAGTGGAAGTGACCTCAGTACCTTTTGGGTAGAAGCCTGAAGAATTAATGGGTGACTTGCCACGTTCTGTTTCTCTGGAATAGTGATGGGAGATGTTTGGGGTTGCCTGGGTTATGATATGAGGATAATAAGCAGAGCTTTCAACAACCCTCAGTGGACATGTGGCACAAGGAAACTATACAACTTAGTTTGTTTTAGTTACTGAAATGTTGGAGCTTTACCACAGCATAACCCAACCAATTCTGCCTGAATAAGGGATAGAAATCCTAGTTGTGAATGTGTTCTGGAAAGTTGCAAAGCACTCGACAAATAAACTCTAAGAGCACAGTATTCTTGTTAATGAATAAACAGTCCAATCCATTCCAGAAAACACTGAGGGAAACACCTCATTATAGTTCAGTACAGTTACTGAGGGTCATAATAATGATTTTGTGCCATAAAAAAGATTAAGTTATATTTGGCATACTCTGTTTAATAAAGGGAATCATATGATACATTTTAGGAAAGTCAACTATCTCACAAATAGCTAAAAGCTTCAGTGATCTGAAATATTCCTATGTGTTGAATCATTAAAGAATAATGCATACTATTGATAATAATAATTGCAAATATTATAATATCTACCCTTCACTGAATTTTTATTAATGGCCAGGTCTTATGTCAAGTGCTTAATATATTTTATATCACTTAATCTTCACTCTAACCCTGTGATAAATTAATAACTTGTTTAAGATCATAGAGTTAAGTAAGTGGCAGAGGTAAAATTTGAAATAATCCCTTTACTACTATTGCTATGTGCCTCAGGCAATCATCCATGCCTCATGGCACAAATGGGCAAATATTTTATTTGGAACTAAAACATGAGATTTATTCACTTTTTACAAATGACCTTGCCCTTAAAAAGGACTTATGATCTCACTCACCAATAGCAGATTTTTAAAAAACATAACTGATAAGTGGAAAGTAAGTTGACACCAGTAATAGATTTTTAAAAAACATAACTGATAAATGGGAAGTAAGTTGAGTAAGTCCATCATGAGCCCTGATTGCTCAGCCAGCAACAAGGGGACAATAATATTGTGGTGTTTGGATGGCTTGGTAAACAAGCTCAGGTAGACATACTTAATATTTTTCTGTCTCTTTAATGTATTTTTACTTCTAATTTTCTGTTCAAGGCAGAAAATACACTGAAGTGGACAACTTAGGCAGAAGGCGCCAGAAGGAGGGGCAGACTATATGGCAATTGGTGGTATGACTATCAAAGGAGAAGGGTTTTTACGTGATGGTGGAGAAATAATGGACTGGAAATAGCTTTGAAGGGCCAGGAGAGTGAAATTTCTGTTTTCCACACCCTATGGGACAAGGGCTATGTGCAGGCTCCACGGCCTTAGGAGGAGGAAGTATCCGGAGAAGCCTAAAATAACTGAATCGGCATGTGCTACTAACTCCTAGATTCCTGCTAACATCTTCCAAAGGTGCCTTAGCCTATGGCATGGCAATTTCTCAGGGAACAAGCAGTGTCCTCTGACAACAGCCTTGAGGTTCCTGTTTGATTTTGAACAGGCACAGGATTTCTCATGGTAGATCACCGGATTACCTCAACACAAGCCCCCTCATACATCAACGCAATTTTGTTTCTCTTTTTTCTCTTCCTTCCTTTCTTCCCTTCTTTCTTTTTTGCCATGCCTTATTATTATTATGCACTAGTGACCCAGCGCACAGATTCATGCACATTGAAAGGAAATTAATTAGAAGGTGGCCAGTGGGGCGGGACTGGGTGAGATGGGCCAGACACACCCTGGAGCCAACCTCCTTTGGTTCCTCCCTGGCATCTGCGGAGTGAGCGGGGTCCTTCCAGCAGGTGGGGTGCCTCAGCATGTCCTGTGGGGATTGGGCTGAAACCAGCTCTCCCACATCCCCCGAGGGGTCCCAGAGTGCAAGAGGGCACTCTACAAAGTTGCTGTCGTACAGAGTGTGAAATGCAAATGCAAGTGTGCAGTAAACCAGATTTGGGGCTGACAGTGCCCCAGCAACAACATAACCCACGGCCGAAGGTTGAATCGTGTGGCCCCGCAAGGAATTGGGCTCCCTCCTCTCTGGTTTCGGGGTGCGTCATCCACAAACTGCCACTGCCAAGTCACTGCAGATTGGCAGCCCCTGCATTGAGTGTTTGACCCCTGGTGGTCAGTGCATGTTATAGCGACTTGTCGGACAGTGGGAGGGGAACTTAGCATATTAGCCTTTTATATATATAGATTATTATTTTTAGGGTTTTGCGCTCATATTTGCCATGTGTGTTTTGCACTCATATTACCATGTGTGTTACAAGTACCTTTATGCTCTATACTAGAGGCCTGGTGTAAAAAAAATTCGTGCACTTGGCGGGGGGGGGGGGGGTCCCTCAGCCTGGCCTGCACCCTCTCACAGATCAGGAGCCCTCAGGGGATGTCCAACTGTGGTTTAGGCCCGCTTCCTGTGGAGGGTGGGCCTAAGCTGCAGTCTGGCCTCCCTCTGTGGGGGGCGACCCATGGACCAATGGGGAGGGGTGGGATGGTTCTGGCTGGTTAACGGCCGGCCCCATCCCCCCGATGACCCCTCTGCCACCGCTGGTCACCGTCACCTCCTGATTGCTGTCCCCTCCCTCTGCCCGCTGGTACCCACTCTGGCTGGCCTGGTGCCACCTGCTCACCAGCCCTGCCCCCGCCGACCAGTCAGTCCACCATTTGGTCGATTTGCATATTAGGCTTTTATTATATAGGGAGTATACAAAGTAAAATAGGTTTTGTATAAGGTATTTTTTGGTAAGCTTTTTCAATTTTAAAGATCTTCTATATTTAAACAATTAAACCCAAGCTTCTATAATTTTCACTGATGAAATTATATGTTCATCTGATTAGTGCCTTTTCAAATAGAAATGAAGGTCCCAGAGGACTATTTTACTGGCCAGTACTTTCAAGGTCCGCTTTATTTCAAACTAAAAGCAAATGAATACATTCAAGTTGAAATAATGTGAATTAGCTACATTACGCTGATAGGATGGATGGCTCTAGAGTTGTTTTACTCTTCATTTCTCTCATTCTGCTACAAGACACTGAAACATCCTAACTAAATCTCAGGCTCTTCTGAAAGGTTATTCTTTTTAGATTTATAGTAATGACTGTCCTTTTAATGACGGTCCACCTAAAATTATTACATTTTAGAGGATGTTTGTTATAATTATTAAATATATCAAAAATTAAAATTAAAGAAAGATAATTAGTTTTCCTCTACTGAGCTATATGGTATTCATTTCAAGATTTGCACCAAACACAGATTTCAGGAGACTGAGAACTGGTAACCTAGATAACTTGTCCAGTGAGAGCACGATTACTGAAAATATGGACAATTATTGTGAACATTATATTTAAATTATTTGAATCTCAGGTCTAAAAATAATATATCACAAGGTTACCTTTTTATTGATGTACTTTGGAACTAGTCCAGAACTTTCAAGATCATGCTTGTCTCCAGTTCTTTTGTCAACGTAAATTGGTTTAGGCTTTTTAGCCACTCCCATGATGACATCGGCTGCGTTTGTATTGATAAAGTTTTTTCCACTCTGTACGCCCATGACTGGATGATCAGTCCTCAGTGGCACAGGAGGCTTTTTGGTCCCAAACCGATCAAATTTCTTTTCTGTGAAATATAATATATCCTTGTTAATATTAAACTATAAACATTGCTACTTAGTGCTATCTGTAACATCTAGATATTTTACCACTAGTATATTGAAGTTTTATTACAATATATTCAAATGTTTAAGATAAAAAATCAGTAATTGTAAGTGTAAAAATAAAGTGCAACTTAATATCTCGAAGAACAGTATAAAAGTCTAAGGAAGAAGATAAGCACCCCCCAAATATATGTTAGCTAACTATTTTAACTAGCTATTGTGAAAATATTTTCTTATAACGATTTCAACAACAAAAGTTCAGCTTTCCCATTGAAAAAAGTTCAAACTTTAAAACTTTTTTATGAGTATTGTCAGTATTATGAATAATTGTTTCTTCAGAGGAAAGTTACTGTAAAATCACCACATAAATAAAAAAACTTGATGTATTGAAAGCCCAAGAATCTATTTTTTTCTACTAAAACTACTATTAATATAAGGTACCTAACATACAGCTTAATAAATAAAGCATTACCAATATAATTGAAGTTTCCTATTCACTCCTCCCTGGTTGCAGCTCACCTAAAATAACTGCTATGCACATTTATTTTATTTCTCTATACCAAATTCTCTTCATTAGCTGCAGGTGAAATTGTCCATTTTTACATAGTCTCTTCAACCTGACCAATCCAACTCATCTTTTTTGACAGAGCCACATCAAAATGGCTTGTAAATATATTAAAATGTAAAATAATTACTCCCTCCCCCCCAAGGGCCAAAGGCAACAACTCTCTTGAAAAACCTTACATCTTAACCCCATCACAATTACTAGGGACTTTGACTTTATTTATTTCTGCATTGTTGGAGCATTTTATGAGCTTATATAACTTTTATTATTTATTAAAAAAATCCATACAGGGTGGGGCAAAAGTAGGTTTACAGTTGTAATACAAATAAATAATACAATCATTAATAAATAATAATAAAAGAATCATCTCTCAGTTTCATGTATTCACAACTGTAAACCTCCTTAGCCCTACCCTCTACTTATTACTAAAAACAAACCTATGGACTAGATTTACCTTTTGTTGTGGGCTGAATTGTGTTCTCCCAATATTCATACATTGAAGACCTAACCTCCAGTATCTCACATTGGGACTGTGTTTGGACACAGGATCTTTTTTTTTTTTAAAAAAAAAAATACATTTTATTGATTTTTTTACAGAGAGGAAGGGAGAGGGATAGAGAGTTAGAAACATCAGTCAGCTGCCTCTTGCACACTTTCTACCGGGGATGTGCCGGAAACCAAGGTACATGACCTTGATTGGAATCGAACCCGGGACCTCTCTGTTCGCAGGCCAACGCTCTATCCACTGAGCCAAACCAGCCAGAGCTAGGCACAAGATCTTTAAAGCGGTACTTAAGTTAAAATGAGGTCATTAGGGTGGGCCCTAGTCCAAGACACACTCAGGGGGAAGGCCACCTGGAGGGACAGGAAAAGACTGCCGCCTACAAGGGAAGAGACACCTTAGGAAAAAACACCCTGACAGCACCTTGGTCTTGGGTCCAGCCCTCAGAATTGTAGCAAAATAAACTTCTGTTACCATGAAAAAGAGTGATAAAACCTACTGGGCGGCGCAGCTTTTTCCTTTGAGTGTTTCTTCAGGAAATCCTTTGGAGAAGGTACTTCAACTTTTGGTGGCCCCATAGTCTTCATTGCAGTTTTAACTTTTTTCATGTCCTCTTTCACAGCTGTCTTAAAAACTGATATGTACCTAGAATTAAAAGACGTTGCAGCATTTATATGTCTAGTAAAAAGTATTTAAAGTTTAACATAGGATGTACATTTCTAATTTAGGTAAGTCTATATTCATTGGAAAATAGCCAAAAAGCATAATTATCTGAACCCTGTCTTCAGGTTTAGTCAAAGCTAGAGAGAAGCTTTGCCCTAAGGAAGAGTTGCTGGGCTAAGAGGTTCATAGTATTTCCTTATTATTCTTTGAACATATGAGGCACCAATAGTGATTTTCATCTGTGTGTGTGTGTGTGTGTGTGTGTGTGTGTCCTCCTCTCTCCCTCCACCCCCCCCCCTTTTTTTTCTGATCAGTCTGGCAAGGGGTTTATTAATTTTATTGCTCTCCTCAAAGAACCAGCTTTTCATTGATTTTCTCTAACGTTTACATATTTTCCATTTCAATAATTTTCTGCACTGATCTTTACTATTTCTTCTTATTTTGGATTTAATTTGCTTTTCTTTGTTAAGTTTTTAAGGTGCAAGTTTAGATATTTAACTTTAAACTTTTATATTTTCCTATTATAAGTATTTAAAGCTATAAAATTCCCTCTATGTATAGTTTTTAGCTGCATCCCACAAATTTTGACATGCAATCCTTTCATTTTTATTAAGCTCAGAATACCTTTTTAATTGCCTTCTGACATCTTTGACTTATGAGCTTGTTTAGATTTTTTGATTCTCAAATATTTTGGGATTTTTTCAGATATCTTAATGATTCCTAATTATTAAAAAAGTGTACTTTGCTATTGTTGGCTGGAGTGTTCAATAAATGACAATTAGGTCAAACTGGTTGGTAGTGTTCTATTAATTACTGAAATCTCTGACTATAATTGTGGATTTGTCTGTTTCTTCTTATAGTTCTACTAGAGGCTCGGTGCAAGAAATTCATGCATAGGTAGGGTCCCTAGGTTGGAGCCTTCTGGCTACCAGCCGGGGCCTTCCTTCCCTGGCTGCTGGCCAGGCTTCCTTCATTCCACACCACCCCCTGGTGGTCAGCACATGTCATAGCAAGCAATCAAACTCCCGGTCGCCAGGTTGAACTCCCAAGGCGACACTTTGCATATTAGACTGTTATATATATAGACTAGAGGCCTGGTGCACAAAAATTTGTGGAGGTGGGGGGGTCCCTCAGCCCTGCCTGTGCCCTCTCGCAGTCTGGGGCCCCTCAGGGGATGACCACCTGCTGGCTTAGGCCCGCTCCCCAGGGGATTGGGCCTAAGATGGCAATCAGACATCCCTCTGGCAGCCCGGCAGCCCTCGGGGGATGTCCACTTGCCAGCGGGGAGCAGGCCTAAACTGCACTCGGACATCCTTAGTGCTGCTGAGGCAGGAGAGGCTCGCACCACCACCGCTGTACTGGCAGCTGTCAGCCTGGCTTGTGGCTGAGCAGAGCTCCTCCCATGTGAGAGCACCCTGACCACAGAGGGCAGCTTCTGCATTGAGCGTCTGCCCCCTGGTGGTCAGTGTGTGTCATAGTGATCAGTCATTCCCAGTCCTTTTGCTGTTATGGTCAGTTTCCATATTACCCTTTTAGTATATAGGATAGAGGCCTGGTGCATGGGTGGGGGCCGGCTGGTTTGCCCTGAAGGGTGTCCCGGATCAGGGTGGGGGTCCTGCTTGGGTACCTGGCCAGCCTGGATGATGGGATGATGGCTGTTTGCAGCTGGTCACACCCCCTTCAGGGTGGAGGTCCCGCTTGGGTGCCTGGCCAGCCTGGATGAGGGGATGATGGCTGTTTGCAGCTGGTCACACCCCCTTCAGGGTGGGGGTCCCCACTGGGGTGCCTGGCCAGTCTGAGTGAGGGGCTGAGGGCTGTTTTCAGGCTGGTGGGTGACTGAAGCTCCCAGCCTCTCCTTTTTTCTTTTTTTTTTATTCTGGGATTAATTTACCTTCTATAGCTGTCACTGGAGCTGAGTGCAGGCTCCAGCTCTGAGGCCGTTGCCGGCTGAAAGCAGGTACCTGGGTTTGTTTAGATTCTATAATTGAAACTCTGTTGCCATCACTGGCCACTCTAAGCTCTGAGGCCGCGCTGGCTGAAAGCAGGTTTCTGGGGTTTGTTTAGCTTCTATAATTGCAACATTGTTTCATCCGGAGCTCAGAGCTGAGCTGCGGCAGGCGGGGAACGTTGACTTCCTCCATCACTGGAGTAAGCAAGCCTCATGTTTATGTTCGCTTCAGCTGCCTGGCTGCCGGCCGCCATCTTGGTTGGCAGTTAATTTGCATATCTCCCTGATTAGCCAATGGGGAGGGTAGTGAAGTTATGGCTAATTACCATGTTTCTCTTTTATTAGATAGGATTAGGTTTTGTTTTATATATTTTGACACTGCTAGTAGGTGTGTAGTATTTAGGATTACCATATCTTCTTGAAAAACTAACCACTTCATCATTGCTTTTTAATGCTTTTTAAACCTGCAAAAATGTTGTATTCTAAAATCTCCTCTGTCTGATATGAATATAACCACTCCACATTCCTTTGATTTGTGGTGACATAGTATTTTTCCATTCTTCAACTTTTTACTTATTTGTGTCTTTATTTTTAAAGTTTTTTTTTAATGGAGAGCAAAGAATTTTTATTCTTTCTAACAATCTCTTTTACATGACATGCTTAGACCGTTCACATTTAATATGATTTTTATATTCACATTTAAGTTTTCCACCTTGCTATTTGTTTTCTATATATCCCATTGTTCGTTCATCTTTTTTTAAAAATCCTGCCTTATTTTTATTTATGTTTGGATTTTGTTTTCTTTTGTGAAAATTCTAAGGTTTACTATAAATATATATGTTTAACTAATCACAGGCTACATTCAAATAATGTTATACCACTTCACATGTGGTATAAGAACCTTATAAAAGAATACTTGCATTTATCCCTCTCCCAATCTTTGTCCTAATGTGGTAACATATTTTACTTCTATATAGGTTATAAAACCCACAATCATTGTGGTAATTTTCCTTTAAGAATCTCTTTAATCATATTTTAAAGAAATTTTAAAAGAAAAAATATTTATACATATACAGGGTGTCCCCAAAATGTATACACACTTTGATAATTCATTCCAATGAATTAAATCTGAAAAGAAAGAAATGTCTGAGCTATCAGCTGTTAAAGTGTGTATACAGTTTTGGGGGGACACTCTGTATTTCCCATTTTCAGTGTTATTTCATTGTGTAAATTCACATTTCATTGTGTAAATTCACATTTCTGACTCAAACCCTTTCTTGTGCATTAAGAACATTTTAACTTCCGACTTCTATTGTTTCTGATGAGATATTTGCTGTCCTTTTTTTAATTTTTTTAAAATTTTTTTATTGACTTTTTACAGAGAGGAAGGGAGAGGGATAGAGAGTTAGAAACATCGATGAGAGAGAAACATCGATCAGCTGTCGCCTGCACACTCCCCACTGGGAATGTGCCCGCAACCAAGGTACATGCCCTTGACCGGAATCGAACCTGGGACCCTTCAGTCTGCAGGCCGACGCTCTATCCACCGAGCCAAACTGGTCAGGGCTGCTGTCCTTCTTTCTTCCTCTTTATGCAATGGGTTTTCCTTTCCTATGGCTACTTTTAAGATTTTGTTTCTTTATTATTGGTTTTAAGAAATTTGATTGTAATGTCCCTTGGTATGGTAATGTTTTTCTCCTTTTCTTTTTTTTCTTCCTCCTCTTTCTTTATTATGATTCCTGGATTTAGGGATTTCATTAAGTCTGCCAAATTTTTTTGCCATTAGTAAAATATTTATTCTGTTTACCCACCGCTCTCCTCCCTTTCTGCCATTCTATTTACACTTATGTTAGGCAGCTGATATTTTTTACAGGTCACTGATTCATTTTCCTTTTCCATTTTTTTTTCTGTTTTATTTGGTATTGTTCTATTATTATTATGACTTCACATTCCACAATATTTTCTTCAGTTTCTTGGATGCTGTTAATCAGTCTTCTATTGTCATTTTAGACATAGTATTCTTTATTCTATAAGTTATATTTGGGTCTTTTTCAAAATCCTTTCATTTTTCCCTGCATGTTGCTCATGTTTTCCTCCTCTAACTCTTTGAACACACAGAGAATATTTAAAATAGTGGTTGTCATATCCTTCTCTACTAATTCTCGCATTGATACCAATTCTTTGTCTGTTTGTATTTACTGACTTTTCTCTTGGTTATGCATTATATTTCTGTATCCAGAAGAGCTTTGGTCTAGTTCTAGTTTGGCTCCACTACTGAGGCAATATGAGTACACTCCTCAATGCCCTGTGTCTTAGGTGTTTCCACTCTGGCTGGTGGGAATATGAATTTTATTTGGCTCTGTTGCCTTCTGTTAGTTATTTCCCTGGCCTCGGTAGTTTCATCACATACTTCCATACCTCTCTACCTCTCTCTTTCTCTCTCTCTTCCCTCCCCCCCCAACCCTCCCACCCCCGCAGTGCTTTGCTATGAATTCTACATGCCTTGTCTTGTCCTTCCTGAACCTAAACTCTGTCTTCTTAACTCAGGAAAACTGCTAGATTTTGTTTCAATTCCTCTTCCCTGGGCTTTGCCCTATAAATTCTCTCCAGAGAATATGTTGGGGCAATTGTAGGGCTTCTTCCCCTTTTCTTAGGGATGACTGCTCTGTGCTGCCTATTGTCCAGTATCTGAAAACCATTGTTTTATATATATTTTCTGTTGTTTTAGTTGTTTAAGGTGAGAAAGTAAATTCCATCCTTGATTGGAAGCAAAAGTTCACCACATTTAGCAACTTGTATTCTTTTCGTGCTCATGTGGATACGTTTGTTGGAAGAAACATGAGGTGGTTTCTTTCTTTTAGGGGCCTTTCATCAATCTTGAACTCAATGCCCAGGAACCAATATGGTCCACACTGAACAAACTCATTAGATAGATAAGGTTCAATCCAAACCTGTGTCTTAAAATTTCCACAAAAGTTGGAATTATCAGATATGATCTTTTGGTTAATAAAATATTCCTTTGGGGGAAAAAAGA